ACAAAAATAATTCAAATTTCATCAAAACAACATATCTTTCTTACTTTCACTAAAAATAGAACATTTTTATTTATTTTTCTATTTATATGAATAACCAAAAATAAGTAATAATTTATAGATATATTTGTTATTTATTAAATATATTTAACTGGAAATTCAAGATAACACTCCATTTCATTTGTATCTAACACATCACAATGGTTATTTGATACAAAAACCTCTTAACTCACTATAACATGTTCAGAGTAAAAAATTTATCGATAGTAATTTTTGTTGTTGAGTTTATTCTCAAAAACATGTATTGTTTTATGGGATATTTTGGAACAGAACAACCAATAAAAAGTTGTAAAGAGTCATTAGAATAATTTTGAACAAGAGATGAAATAAAACTGAACATGATAAAGAAATGAATCACCAAAACACAAAGAAGGATGAACAACAATAACAAAGGAATGTGAGCGAAGACAAGAACAAAGAATTGCCACAGAATAAAAACAAATAGTACAAAGAATAAGAGTTTTTGGAATAAAGAAAATCTAAAAAGTCGATAGAAATGGAAGATAGCATTAGTGCAGCAAAGGAAAAAGAAATACAGAAACTCAGGAATGAAAGTAAAGAATTAGACGATGAGATCTCAAGAATGGAAAAACAATACAAAGAAGATGAAGAGAGGAAGTATGGGATAGAAAGAGAAGAATTAATGAGAAAGGTGGAAGAGATACTCAAGACACTTGAAAGTAACAACGAAGAACAAATGGAACAACTTATTTTACAAGCACAAAATGAAGTAAAGAAAAGGATTTACCAAGAAAATGAAATTGTAGAAGGGATGAAGAGAGAAAAGGAGGAACAAGAAAAAGAAAGGACAGAAAGAATTAAGATAATGACGAACACAGATGAATATTTCATTGAGAAAATAAGGGAAACTAAGTCAGGGTATGAGAAAATAAAAAAAGAGAATGAAGAGATTTCAATAAGAAATCAAATGATAGAAAAAGAAATTAAAGAAATAAAAGAGGAAGTGAAGGAAAGAAAAAGACGGAAGGAAGAATTGGAACAAGAGAGAGAAAAGAAAGAGAAAGAAATAAAGGAACTCAAGGCACAGAAAAACATCATCAAAAGTCAAATAGAAGCAATAAAAGAAGATAATTCAATAAAACAATGTTCAGAGGAAAAGATAAAAGAATAAAAGAAACAATAGAAA